ATTGTCACAAAGTTATCAGAGCGCAAAAGCGGAAAAAAAAAACAGAAAGAAAACAAAGAAAAATAAATTCATTTGTTTGTCTTCTTCCTTACAACTCCCCCTGTTCAAAACCTCTTGCGTACAAGGCCGCCCACGTGGATGTAGGTTGATCGGCGGCTGCCCCCACCCCCGTGTGTCATATCGACCCACTTGCACACAGCCAAAGGGCAAAGAGGCAAAGAAAAGAGGAAGGGAACAGCCAAATACAATAAGCAACAGCACAAACCGGATCCTAGATGACAAATCCCACATGCAAACACCACCCCACCTACAAAGGCCAAACGATGGGACAAGACCACCCAGGACAAAACACTCTTGTCTGCAAAAAAAGAAATCCCAGTTACATATCTATACACAGCAGATGGCCTTGTTCAACATCAAGAAGTTGGTATTCCAATGTCAACATGTCAACTGAAATACTGGGACACCGCCAACGGCAAAAAAATATAAAGACACTCCCAGATGACGATTCCCACTTATAAACACCACCCCCCGTGGTAGGCCGAACAACGGGAACCAGCCAACTAGGATACCAAAATGAAAAAAAAATGGATGACAAATCCCACATGAAAACACCGCCGCGTGGACCAAACAACCCACATAAAAACACTGCCACATGGACCGAACAACAAGACAAAGCCAACCGGGATGCAGACAAAGATGCCAACAACACCAAAAATTCTACCATAACCATCCTTGAAAAAATGGAACCATACAGTAGGTCCGTAAACGAAATACCCCAACAATGGGGAAGAGCAAAGCAAAGAAGAAAGAAAGAAAGGAAATTAGAAAGAGTATAAAACACCGCCGTGTGGACCGAACAACCCACATAAAAACACCGCCACATGGACCGAACAACAAGACAAAGCCAACCGGGATGCAGACAAAGATGCCAACAACACCAAAAATTCTACCATAACCATCCTTCAAAAAACGGAACCATACAGTAGGTCCGTAAAACGAAATACCCCAACAACGGGGAAGAGCAAAGCAAAGAAGAAAGAAAGGAAATTAGAAAGAGTATATTCTATCATAACCAAAAGAAAGAGCCTGCTAGTACAGACCCGATGCTCGCCGCATCATCTACAAAAGCAGAGAGCTAGCAACGTCGGAATATATAATGTCACAAAGTTATCAGAGCGCAAAAGCAAAAAGAAAACAGAAAGAAAACAAAGAAAAATAAATTCATTTTTTTATCTTCTTCCTTACAACTCCCCCTGTTCAGAACCTCTTGCGTACAAGGCCGCCCACGTGGATGTAGGTTGAGCGGCGGCTGCCCCCCCCCCGTGTGTCATATCGACCCACTTGCACACAACCGAAGGGCAAAGAGGTAAAGAAAAGAGGAAGGGAACAGCCAAATACAACAAAACAGGGGGCAATAAGCAACATATATATATCGTCACAAACAGAACTGCCCGGTAAACCGTAGGCAGAGAGAGAGAAGAGGACAACAAACGAGGGGCTGTGACAAACTGTTTCGTCGGAGTTTCACCGACTCATCAAGAGGTTGAACCCTCAACAGTCTGCAGAATCCCCTCACTGATTACACTGTAAATAATAATCTACCTTAACCAAAATCAAAATAGACTGTCACTCACCCACACCAGATGGAAAACTCTAGAGACTGTCGGCTCACACCCCATCACAAGCCAGCAAAACATCCACGTATATATATCGTCACAAACAGAACTGCCCGGTAAACCGTAGGCATGCCCGGTAAACCGTAGGCAGAGAGAGAGAAGAGGATATATATATATATCGTCACCAACATATATATAAATACAGGGTTACCTGACCGAACGTTCAGGGGCCCCCGGGCTGGCCCCCGAACGTTCGGGCGTTCGGGGGCCGAACATCTCCAGGTTCGGCCCCCGCCGAAAAAAAAATTGGGGCCTAAAAATAAGGTTTTTTTTTCTAAATTTTTTTTTGTGAGTTCTCTATGATGTAACCTACACGCCTATAAATTTTGAAGTCATTCTGCTAAGCCAAAAAATCATTAAAAATCGTCGAACATGGGGGTGTCAAAACGTGCTCGCCCACTCACTATTTTGCTTTTTTTCACTTTTTATTTTTTGCTTTCACTTTATTTCGGGGCCAAAAAAAAATTATCATTTTTTGAAAAAACATTAATGAGTTATTAATTATGTAAACTACATATCTCTAAATTTTCAGGGCATTTGTCAATGCCAAAAAATAATTAAATATCGGCAAAGATGGCGGTGTCGAAAAGGTGCTGGCACACTCACTCATTTTAATTCTCTTTTTATTTTTTCTTATTTTTATCATAGTGTTCATTTTCTGTATTTGATCTTTAATTCAAATTTGATAAAGCATTTGGATGCCCACGCAA